AACTGGTATACTTGTTATGAATATGATACGAAGGGTACACATGTACGTTCATATAGTTCATAGTCAAGGTTAATAAGCGAATAATGAACAAGATCGAAATATGACTCATAATGGATAGGTGAATTAGCTTGTCCAGTAGCTAGAATAAAGTATATGGGCTTAACATATAAACCGATACTACAATCCTAAAAGGAAATTCCAAGTAACATTCTTTACAATAATTAATGTTATTGTTTTGTTATTCAATATATAGCTTAGTTTTGAATGTTATTTCTACCATTTTCTTATTCATATACTGCCACTTTTTGATTTATTTGCAATCATATTTGTTTTAAGTATTGTCGCACTTTGTCGAAGTTCACTAAAAACCAGTCATCACCAGGATAAACACAGTCATTCCATACTTGACGATCATTTTTGACCTGTAACAAACTCAGTAATAAAATTATTATTCAAAAATGAACAATATTTGAGCGAACAATTGTTTTCAATAACTTCATCATCAGGCTCTACAGTTATAAATCTATAATTATGATATTTTACAAAGGCTAAAATGAGGCACGTATTAATTAATTTGACAATGTTAAAAACGGTGAACGTTTTCATCTCTTATGACATATATACTTCAAAATTGCGTTATTTGGACACTTTATTTGACTCTCGTACACTCAATAGTCTTCCTTGTGGATTTTGGCATGATCTCGGTATTGTTTCGATACCACTGTGGTGTGGTCTACTTATATCCATGTAAGTAGTATATGGTGTGGGTCAGACATGGAATGTATTTTGGCAGAAGACCGATGATCAAAGAACTTAAGTGAAGCGCAATCGTTTGGAAAATGCATGAGCAATGGAATAAGAGAAGAAACAGTGAAGATTGAAACAATTGGTTGTCAATTTGCAAATTGACTGTTCATTGTTTGGTTATCAGAATTTACTGAGATAGTCTGTAATCTTTGCTTAAATACATTCGATCGTCCCCAACCAGTGTACTGTTCACTACACCACGAGTTCTCCAACAAAAGCATCTTACTACAACCATCAACTGCCCACTGATATTTTTACTTCAGAGGGGTCTAACCTAGCAAATAGCACGTACTTTTCCTGTAGTGGTGATCATAGTTAACTGCGAGTCGACCCTACTATATCTGGTGACTGACAACTGCGAACACCCATCAACTGCTGAAAAATCTCCTGAAGAAGACTATCACGGTGAGTCTGCTATCTATCTATCCACATTTGTTGCACATTTTCATATTAATACCTTTCAATCTGTAATATCCTGGCAACAACTCGAAACGGTGGATAACAATGAGAGTAGCATTAATTTAAAATACTCCGAAGTACAAGTTACCAATTTCCAACCTGTACCTTTTATCCCCATCATCCAAAAGTTTAGTTCGCGGCACTGGAGTCTTAATTCGAGATCCGCCGCATTACGTATGAACGTCAGAAATACGCCTACGCTCTGAAGACTCTACATGGGGACCATGAGGTAGTTGTCGACCCCAATGTACCTAACGTCTAGGTCGTCTCAAGGAGGCGATCCACATATATTCCCTCCTATCGAGGTAGGGACGCTTGAGGACATTAGCACGTCACCCTCTAGGTGACTGTGGTGTTTGAATGAACCAATGATTCCCTTGTATGGATGACTGTTTTGATTTTGAATTCCGAATACAATACAATCGTTCGTGCTCACTAATATTTCTTGATTAATATTAATATTTCTTGATTATTGCTGGGATTACTAGTTCATACTATAATTCAAATACTTCAAATCATCACATTCGCGTCCCAATGGAGCCTGTGATGGAATGGTTGAACATTATTTCAGCTTTTAATGCTTTCGAGGATTACATGAAGAGGTTCAAAATCTGGGCTATGATCAAGGAAGATGATAAGGATTTTAATATTGTGGCCCATTTCCTTGCATTCATCGGAAAAGAAGCATACAGAATAACAAAGACTTTAGCATTTCCAGACAAACCGATTTCATTCCCTTATGCAACTCTCAAGCAACTTCTACTGGACCATGTGAGGCTTACAAATTTCGAATGCGGTAAGGGGGAAAAATTCAATGAAATGACTCGCCAGGACATCAGGAATTCTACTACTTTACTACTTCGTCACAGTCTAATATGTAATCAAGGTTATTCAGGTGACAATTCATTGAAATGTGAAACAGTCCACGAAGATGAGCACAAGTTTGGTAAATGCTTGTTCTGTGGTAAGTTTCACCCATGTAATCCATGTGTGTTTCGTGATTCTGAATGCTTTAAATATGGTAAAACTAGACAAATTCAATCAGTTTGTAATACCATGATTCATTTGGCTGAAACTAATGCTAAGGTGGATGTTCCTAATGATTACTTATCTATATTCATGACTTCTAGAAGCGGTATAACGTCACATAACAGTCCAGAGTTGAATGAAACCCAGAATCATTATGAGACAAAAATTTCTAATCAACCAACTTCTTATAGGTTTTATCATGTTAGTTTGTTGTAATAATTCACATATTTCGAATGAAATTTCATACAACTCTGAGAATGAAATGTTGAATGAGTCAAATCATAATCGAAAACCAGATTCAGTTTTGGTAGATGCTGATTTTCCTGATGATCCATTATTCTCTAATGAAACTCTCAATAAATTTAAGAGAATTATTTCAAAAAATTCAAATCCTAATATCATATCAAGTGTCAGTAGTCCTCACAATAAATTTATCTCTAGTGATATTCTTAATAAATGGGACAAATATGTTCAGAATGAGTCGAATTCTAGTCACATTTCTGATGTTAATGTATCAGATGTTAGATATTCTCCAAACCAATGTGTGTAGAGTAGAATCCCTAGTCAGTGGTATGATGAATCAGGGGGAATAGCAAGTTTTCAAGGTTGGTCTACACGGCCGCTTCCAGATCGTCAGCATTGATTATCTCAAACCAGCACACGTCGATGACAGTATCCTAACTGATAAGTTTGGAATCAATGCTAGACCCATCAATCCTACAAGCGGGATCCCTACATCTACTTTGGACCCCACACTAGGTACATCAGAGACCTCATTCTCACGTCCCAGTCAACAGCATGTGCCATCGGCACCATCTACTGACAAGACTCCAGTCCCACGTCTAGATCAGCAGACCACGCCGCCTTTGACTTCGGATGAGATTGCAGATTGGCATGAACGAGACTATCGTCTCACGTTCCGGTCGCCAAGTGCACCTACCCGTACGCTTTCGCGACTAACTTTTCAACCAACAACGGATACGGTCTAGGACACCATCCTTATACAAGATGCACCCTACACCCTTCTCCTTTTGTTCTTTTTTTATCTTGAGCCCAACTCTCTGACCATCACCCGGCTGATATCGTCGACTTCAGTCAATCTTGGTGAGAGCTGGCTTGATCACCCACACTATTGTCAATGCACTCAATCGATGTTCTGGCCCCGAATACACCTGGTATACGTGTGGTCTCGAAATCGGTTATTAGGTTGCTTCTGGTTTTTTGTCTCGGTGTGGTTCCATCCCACGTCTGCAGCATTTTTGGTCCGCACCCCTACGAACGCAATCCTCATATCCTGGATATAAACCACTCTGTTGTTGTACGCTAACTCGAGCAACAAATATAGCCTGTTACTTCTGGTACCGCCCTACCTTAAAGACCTTCAGTGGCAACCCAGTAACTTTAATACATCAACTTCATTTATACTACACATGCTAATCATTAAAGTTATTTAACATCCTCATTAACCATTTCATATTTCGACGAGTATATACAAAGACCGTGATGATTATGTTGCTGTTTGTTATTGCGAACGAAACTGGATTCATTGGAATTATTTTGGCATGTTCGTTTCTACGAAAGTCATATTTCCTGGAGCTTGTCAGTCTATTTTGTTTGTTTGTTAAAGCTACGTCCTGTTACTCAGTACGCATGTACATTGTGGCTACGATAGATAACGGAAGTTCTTCACCATTTAGAAATAGAAGCGTTGTTCATTATCACCATTAACCTACAAGCGTTTACCTGTAACCTATTTACCGAGGACAGCGATTTTTCGGTTGGTCTGGTTTGCCAGTGTCAAAAAAAACATATATACATATACATACATGCATAAACATATACACACAAAAATATATATTTGTTAGTTTCATTCTCAGAGACTAGAAGATAATACATGGGTCAGTATTTTGAGACTGATTGTTATCCTTCGGTAAATTGGTCGTGATAATTGTCTTTGGACATTGTGTAACAGATTCGAAGAAATGAAAAGATAAGTTTATCAGACAGATTACATCAGGAGTCCAGCTGGATCGAGATGAACAGGACTGAAATAGGCACCTGATTCAACGTCTCAATTGATATCGTTTGGAATTCATATAGATTATAGTTACACAAGAGACGCTTATTCTTCCTACAAATAAATCCTCAACGTATTTGAAACGTAATTCTGACTGTTAAGATTCGAACAACTCAGTGATTCAGGAAGGAATAGCAAAGATTTTGTACGAACCCAGTGCTTTTTACTAGAAAAAAATACTGACAATCTAGGAATATTAAACTACCTAGTTACTTACGCCTGTTATACTTTCTCGTGTATAGACCACTAACCAAAAATCTCCCGATCACTAATTTACTGTTATAGGGCATTTCGGTCCCGTCAGCTGAAGCAGAAACGATTGAAAACCAAAGAAGTTTAACTTCAGTTTCTAAATTCAGAGGGTAATTAAAACAGAATAAACTTAATCAGTAGAAGTCAGAAAATAGATTAGTACTCTGAAGAAACTAAATCGCCAGGAAAATGAATTATAATAATCACATTCAAAGTCAGAAAAAGAGTATGCCAAATAGCAACCGAAAATAACAACTTTACACATTTTGTCCTACAGATTGACCGCTGTGTTCGTAAAAAAAAAGTCACAGGATTTTTTCGTTTATTGATTCACTTTTATAGCGACTGCTTTACCTGATGCATTAGAATTCAGATAATGTCACGCAATCAAAATGGTCAGAGAATGTACAACCGTCAGCCAGAGAAAGAATTTGGTTACCCTAGTGTATCTGGTCAGCACGCTTATGGTGTTCCTAACTCGAATGTGACAGATACCTACCCGCAAGGTCACCCGAACAACAGCTTCCAGTCACCTCCCAACTACTATGCGGGAAACCAAGGACAGACCTTTCAACCACAATCTCAGCCTTCACATTATTCTGTTAAGTCAATGCAGAGTGTGAATCAACCACCATTACCACCCATGCCTCCTGTCCCAAACCATCAGGATTTCGTCCAACGTCCTCAGCAGCCGCGTCTTCCTCCGATGCCACCAATGCCTCCGGGACCTGAAGGAGTTCCACCACCCAATTATCGACAGCCTCAACCTCCAGGTCCGTTTCCATTGTCAAATGGTGCCAACAGCCAGATAAATACATTACATTCTCAACAGCCATATCAAAATGTCCAGTATCCAGACAACCACAGTTTTCTCAAAGTATAAATGCAGATAGATTACCTAGTTCTATCGAGGTTATTGAGAGCAATCGGCTCAATGTACTGGACCTTTTTATACAGGACAACGAGGTGTTGTGCCTCTTCTAGTCACAACTGACTTTATATCACGTGACCAGGGTACATGTGCACCTTGTTTCATCCGATCTTCACTATATTCTGTCCCGAATACATCAGATCTCCTTAAAACTGTTGGGATCCCTTTTTCACTTACAATATCTCCATTTGCTGTACAGCATACAGAAGATATGAATATTGTGATAAGCGATATGGGTCCACAAGGTCCAGTTCGATGTGTTCAATGTAAAGCCTACATGAATCCCTTCATGAATTTGATTGACGGTGGTCGAAGATTCCAATGTCCACTTTGTAATGGTTTAACTGAAGTTGCCGCTGAATATTTTGCTCATTTAGATCATACTGGACGTCGAGTTGATGCAGGTCAAAGACCTGAACTATGTTTAGGCAGTTACGAATTATTAGCAACGGCGGAATGTTGCAAAAACAACCAATGACCTCTACCTCCAGCCATCATATTTCTACTAGATGTTTCTCAATCTGCTATACGTTCAGGTTTTGTACAACTATTCTGCTCCCAATTCGTCGAACGTATTCTACCAAATTTACCTAGGGAAAAGTTTGCATCATCAGATATAGCTAATCCAATTCGATTGGGATTTATTACATATAATCTAGTGATAATAGCAAAGCGTCATTGTTTTATAAAATGCATACACGGGGAAATTTTCACAAGGCCGTACACTCACGAGCAACACCATTCTCTAGAGAAACTTGTATCAGGAATGAAGAATAAAATTAAGGACATTTCTTGATTTCAGTTATCTCGGGTTCTCAAGGAGCGAAACGAAAGCCTGTAGATTTTCGTATACATGTTAATTACAGTGAACCCAAATCATAGTACCATAAGCGCGATGGTCTCATGAGCATTCGAGTAGGACAAGTTTTTCGACGTGTCAATGATATTCCGAACAATAACAGCCCTGTTCTTTAAAATTTACTTGTGATGCTTCATTATAACATTCAATGGTTTTAACTTGTTGTTCAGGGTACGTACGTGAAACCGCTAGCCAGCTTAGATTAATCTCTTCTCGATATATTGATATTTCATCAAATGCATCTTCTAGCCTTTTCCTTTCTGACTTCTGATTTGACTGGGTTGGCAAATTTCGATTATAAGTGTTAGTGGCTAAGGCGTTATCAAGATCTGAATACTTGTGTCTTTAGTATTCTATGGTTACTTTGCAGCCAATCAACCAGGAACATGTAGAACACGCTTACGATAATTTCACATCTTTGTGTAGCCGAAATGTCAACGAGACGTATAGAGTTTATCCTGATTGCTACCAGCCACCCTTGGTAATTATGACCTGGTCAACCTCGATATAGCCTGCACAGTTCGTTACAGTTGATATCATCATGGTATTTAATATTTATCACACCGTTTCCTTTATGGTCTTACGGTAGATAAATAACCTGGGCGTTTGTAGTCTCTCTGAAGAAACCGTGTAAATTGACTCCTTCAGACAATTCAATACATTATTAAGTTTGTGGAATCGAAAATTCAGATAGAGATATTTGTACTTACACAGACCTTCTACAAAGAAGTTGTCAAGGTATGTGAAATGAAAAACAAGGGTACAGAATATATCACTGATGAAACATTTAAAGATCTGAGCCACATCCCTAAGTCTGACTAGTAAATTGAATCCTGAAAAACTAAGGTTTATAATCTGAAAATTTCTGAAATATCTTCCACAGTTATAAGGACTTGAGGTAAGCTGAGTCAAAATTTTTTTGAAGATTGAGTTGAAAACGTTCATAATGAGCATCAAGTCGTAAACGTAGGGAAACTGATAACAACTTGGTTTTGTATATGTCTATAGTCGTCAGTTATGCACTTTCTATCATTATCGCTACTGTCAATCAATAGAGGATGGATTCCGAGAGATCGTCCAGGCGTCGAACAGTAATCGAATCTATCGTGAAAGCATATCGCCTTTTACTTCTATTCAAATCTCCTGAAGCTATTCAGTATGTTTTCACGAATACATTCCGTGATAGTGGTGTGTAACACCGTTGACTACAGGTAGAGGATTTGACGTTGGATAGTTTTGGGTACTAATGAAAGATGTGATTGACTGTGTGCTTGATTTAGGTCACTTCTTCTAAGACTGTGATAGTATGCAAAATCCATAAATCACCCGTCAAAAACTGACAATCGTCTTCTTAATATAGGAACAAAGTTCAACCAGCAGAGTCGTCACTTCAAAGATATTCATAAGTCCTGTCGAGTATGGGACCCTTCTAGTCATGTGACTGGTTCCTTAAGCAATGCTAGATCCAGGATACTGAAAAAAGTCTTAAGAAGAACTTTGAATTCCGTTGCTGGGTTTCATCAGTTAAACTAGTTTTCTCATGTTTATATTATTAACATATTATTATCCACTTATCTGGAAGCCAATAACTCAAGCCTGAATTTAGTACAGAATATGTGAATGCATTTTCTGAACTTTTCTTAGAAAAAATGTTGGGATACTTATATCTGATTGGAAGTGAGATGGTTTCCCGTCCTTCTATTATCCACTTAATATTAATGAAATTAAGTTTACTATGAGCATTTTCAAAGAGAAAAAAACTGTTTTGGTCTGACGTGTTCTAGTTTACGACACTTTATTTGTTATTGATTCTTTTAATCGTTTCACTTGTGTGATGACCTTAGTTTGCGGGACTCCACGGATTTTAAAAGTTTTGTTCTCGTAGTATTTCTGTATTTATGACATCAGAAGTAGACGTAGATGAGCTTATTAGTAGGCTACTGGAGGGTGAGTTCTCTTTATTATTCACATTTCACGTTCAGTCCGATCATCCAGACCCGGGACTACTGTAAATATGAAGGAAGAAGAAGTACGATATCTCTGTGTTACTTCACGACAAATTTTCCTATCACAACCTATTTTGTTAGAATTACAAGCTCCTTTGAAAATTTGCGGTAAGTATTTTATTAGGGATTTTAGGTAGATTTATTACTCTTTATGACAGTCATTATTTTGAGCCCCTTAAGCTTCTGATGGTTGATTGCATGACTGAATTCAGATCAAACGTCAAGTTTAAGTGCTTAGTGTTTTGGCGTTATTTGATCGTTGATTTTTATGCCATAATGTCAGTATTCATACAAAAATTTGATTTTGTAAGTGCATTTTCCAAGGTCTTTGTTCAAACCTCATATTAATGCACTTTTTCCAGGAGTCCTGACCTGTTATGTTTTACTGTTCATTTTGTCTTATATGGTGTTTACATCTCATCATCACCGATGTTTTCATGAATGTAACGGAATACCTGACTACCATATTGCAAACTAATAAGTTGTTTTATTGTATTGTGAAGACAATACCAACTTTGTTGGAAGTACTCAACTCCATAAATTTCGGTGGCCTAAATTTGTCCATGTTGTGTAAGTCACACTTAAAATTTAGGTGTTCTTGTTCTGCTTTCAGTAAGAACATCAGGTTTCGGTGAGATCTATTTCCGTCTACATATCTACGGGTCTGTGAGCGTAGTATAAATATATTTAGTGGTATTGGTTACTGACAGATAGCTCTTAACAATCATTTTCGCCTTGTTTTTCCATAGATCTGTGTTTCCTAAACTAGACAATACCTAGTTTTGTAAAAGTGCATTTTGATTTTCCTGTTGGTTCAAACTTCATCTGACTGCCAATTAGTCAGTCATACGCTATGTGCAACCTGGCACTTGTGTAAATCGATTCAAGTCCCCATGCCCCATTAGCATCGCGAAGTGAAATTGTGTAGGTGGATCCCAGAGTAGTAGGAGTAGTAGCAGTTACTGTTTCATGGACTGATGCCGTGAAATAATGTCCACCACCCATCATACCGTGTATGAGATAGGCAGTGGATGAGAGAACGTAATACATGTCCCTACTATCTCAGTCGATAAAAATTCACGACCTCGCCGGTCACTTTGTCGTATTTATTCAGTACTCTTCATCTGACCTCAGAATTGCTAACTCGATGATTCCAGAACATACAAGCAATGGTTGGGGAACATGTGATGAAATACCAGTAACCTACGAATATACTCTATTTTTAAAAACCGTATTTCATGGCCATACAGTTGAATGGAGCGTACTGCTTCAAGGTAACTAGTCCTTTGTTTGTCAGATAAATCTCGCCTACGCCAAACGTGATGTAAGTTAGCACAAGCCAACCGGACTTCCTGAATTGGTCTCAATATTTCGTCCGACACCAGTCCACTAGGTTGTTATGACTTCCAAGATAAGTGTAGTGATCGACCTACTCAACTACTTCCCTCTCTATCATTAGTTCAAACGTTAACGCAGACTAGTCATAAGGCAACGTTTTACATTTAGAGCGACAGAAATGCATACCAAACATGCTTCCATTGTTGCTGTCGGTAATTAGAAAACCTGCCCCCAAATGCCCTGGTACGGCCGAGATTGAGGAGAGTCCGCTCTCCCTCTCCAAATGCTCTCACATGGCCACGCGTATGTAGCATCTGCCAGGGAAGTCCTATTCACTGCCTTCTCGTGGCGGGGGTGTTGTTTACGAGATTGAGAGGACGAAAAGCGGGTTGGTGGACACGGAAAGTCCACCTAGGGGTGTTGGAAAACCCTGATTCCAAACCAATGGTGCACATGGGCTCCAGAGGGAACAAATGGCGTATAAGAACCAATCGTTGGACACCGGCTACCATGGGACTGCATCGCCTCATGATGCTCCACTGCCATGTGGATCAGACCTTTAGGTCGAAGGCTCCGGGTGTGGCCCTCTAAGAAAACCACCTGCGTCAGTTTGGGCACCTCAGCAGCATCACAGCCCTCACACAAATCTCATTTGATTTGTGCGGTGCATATGTATCTGGTGCTTCCTTGTACCAATATTTATGTGTTTAAATAAATAAATAAAATTAGAAAATCGCACTTTTTCCGCATCACCAAACAACTAAATCATCTGCGTACTCTAAGTTAACATGGGGACCTAATAGAAGACCACGTCAGATGACAAGAGAGTTATCCCTAAAAGTGTCTATAACAAAGTTGAGTAAAAATGGAGAAAGTGAACAACGCTAATCAACACTATCCAAAGTTAATTATTCCAGTGACACTTCGTTATAGGCTCTGATTCCTCTAGGAGCGTTTGGGTAGAGAAGCTATACAAGGTTAGTACACTTCTTTGGTACGCCTTCAAGTTAAATTGATTTTCCTGTTTATCACAAGTAGATTTTTGTTCTTATAGACTAAGACGACCAGCGACCGAGGTTGGTCAAGTAGGATTACGTCCAGTTTCAAGACTAGCTACGATTTCAGTAAACCTAGTAGCCAAGACTGGACCACCATACTTAACGATCTCAGGGGTTAGTCCATAGGCGCTCACTGTTATCCCTCGCTTTAGACTAACTTTGGTTTTTCTACTTCAAGATTTCGGTGGTTTATGCTGATACCCGATTCAGGTCGTTTGCTAAAAGTAAGCAACTGTAGATCAGCTAAACTGTTCTCCGAAGAAGTCTACCTATCATTCCGGTCTCCTGAGTTGAGAGTGGATCATTGTCCCTTATTTGTCAGAAATATTCTCACTAACTCTCAGATTCTTAATATGTTTCGTTTACAAGTCTGAAAAGTTGTCTATTGTTTCCTATCGCCGCCACCCTTTCCCATCGCTCTTGCCTTTGCTGCCTACCACTGCTCACAATTATTGTGCAGACCTTTTGCCAGTTTGCGTTTACGCTGCCTTCGCCCTCCACCATGTTCGGAGCCTGGTAGGATAATTTTCCAAGCATCTATCAGTTTATTAGATGCTGCTGAAATCCACCAACTTTTCGTAATCTTTTGGTTATAGTCGCTCGTAGATGTTGCTGCTGTCTTCACAGTTGTCTGGACATCATCCTAACACCACCTTGACTGACCAACTGCTTATATAGTTATTCCTAAGATACTCCTTGACTTCGTCGTTAAATTAAACCCTAAGGGGTTTTATTGCTGTTTTCCTGAGTTCAGTAATATTCAAACATGCTTGCTCGTACTAGAACAGGACCAGAGTTTAGATATGTCACCAAAAATGACCGGCAGTCTTCTACCGAATCTCTCCAATGATATATGATGTCAATGTGGTTTGTTTGCGTTCATCGTTAAGTCGCCTGTGGTGGTCGCTATATCGAATGATATCTATATGCTCAGAGTTGGTACTTGTCTAGAGTAAATGGTTGTCTGAGCAGTCAGTCGCCGCTCTGTTCGTTGAACTGCAACACTAAGACCCACCTCAAATGTCTCCCATTTCTGTTTAAGCTACCTACTTGGGTGTTAAAATTTACTACAATTACAACGTCCCAGGGTTTGGCTTTTCGTAGTAGACCAGAAGGATTTTTATCAAAATCATTCTTTAAGTCATCTGAACTGCAGTCAGTCAGAATGCAGGTAGAGAAGACAATGGCATGTCCCAACTTTTCCATACCTTTACTTTCACCATTTAGTTTAGCTCTCTCTGTTGAAGTCCTACAATGTTTTGATGACCCCTGACCTATATTACGTGACAAATCACCAATCAGAATCCCGATCCTAATTTGGTCGATTTCGCGTCTACTATTACTTTTACTTTATAGCTTGGTGTCTAATTCGGCCAATCACGTCCGATCGGCACCACCATTGAATCAATAGTTAAGTTTCTATCGGTCCACGATTGACTAGATTCTCTCTCTACCCCCCTCTTGAGTCCGAATATCAGCAACCAGACTCTATTATATTTACATTTCAAACGTACATACATACCAGATTGCGCCACACCATAAAATGGGAATTAACAATTATACATGAACGAACCAAGAGTGGCTGTGAGTAGGGGAGACTAAATAAACTAACATTAAAAATGGTAAATCGTACAACAGTAGTTAGTCAAAAAAAGCTTAGGATGGGTGAAATACGTATACATAGTAATCAAGTTACTCAGTAATTATACAGAATATAATTCATAGTAATTCAAAAAAATTAGTCCCAGATTTAACATTATTCGTTTCGTTATAGGATAGCCTGCTTTACTTTCAAACTTAGTGCCATATCTACACCAGAGAGGTCATGAAAAGTGACAGTCAAGTCTCCGGAGATTTGAAGAGTAAAGTCATACGAGAAGGGTTGACGGTGGTGATAAAATGAAAATTAAGTGGCGAAAGTATTTGATCATGAATAAGCTCTGTAGTGCTGTTAGAGGTGTGAGGGCTGCATATGCTGGTTGCCTAAGGGTAACAAGTTTCAACTATCACACCTCAGTACAGTTAGCAGTACAACTCCCCCTCGGACCATGTGTTTGCTGTACCTAGTTTTACCATCTCCTAATCGACCTGCCTGGTAGGTTAAGGTCTAAAGAAATAATTTTTCCAGCCAATATTGCTCGATTGGATAATTACGATGTACAAGCTTGACCACCAGGTCAAGGTACGAGCTACGATCGTATTTAGCAGCGGGTCACGATAGCATTTATGCATTAATCTTCAGTATTGGTAGTCCTGGATTGGCAGAGAACTTTTAACTTCAGAAGCTGGATCACCATCTGATAAACTCTATCTCACTCCCTCCAAATGCCCTGGTACGGCCGAGAGTGGGGAGTCACCTCTCCCTCTCGAAATACTCTCATATGGCCAGCGAATAAATAGCCTCTGCCAGGGAAGTCCTACTCATTGCCTTCTTGTGGCGGGGGTGTTGTGTACTAAAGTGAGAGGACGAAAAGCGAATGTCCGGCGCTTTAACCGGGTTGGCGGATGTGGAGGATCCACCTAGGGGAGTTGGAAAACCCTGATTCCAAACCAATGGTGCACATGGGCTCCAGAGGGAAAAAATGACGTACGAATCAACCGTTGATCACCGGCTACCATGGGACTGCATCTCCTCACGATGCTCCACTGCCTTGTGGATCAGACATTCAGGTCAAAGGCTCCGGGTGTGGCCCCCTAAGAAAACCACCTGCTTCAGTCTGGGCACCTGGGCAGTATCACAGCCCTCGCACAAATCTCATTCGATTTGTGAGGCGCATATTTATCTGGTGCTTCCTTGTACCAATATTTATGTGTTTAAATAAATAAATAAATAAGTAATCTCACTCTCATAATTTTGTGCGACGCCAATCAAGTGGTTGATTTTAAGTTATGAAAAGCTACTAATACTATAGCAACTTTAATTCGTAGTAAGTGGAGCAGGAATGATATTTTCTCAAATGTAGTTGTAAACATTTATGTAAACAATATTCCTGGTTTGTTTCATTACGCATAAATCTAGACATCTTTGATTTATTCAGACCTATTTTTGATTGATCACCTAATTATTCTTGGATTGTTCCGTTGTACTATTTAAACTTGGATTATTGTTAATTTGGTTATTTATTCTCTGAAGAAGTGGCTTACACTGGGTCACGAAACGTCAGAAAATCTAATTTTTCTACTCATTGGGATATTACATATATATTATTTATTTATTCTAAACATCTTTTGTTTTACCTATTGTAAATTAATATCGATGCCCATTTCTGCAGGTGATATTCACGGCCAATACACAGACTTGTTACGTCTTTTCGAATACGGTGGTTTTCCTCCAGAATCTAACTACCTGTTTCTTGGAGACTATGTGGACAGAGGCAAGCAGAGTTTAGAAACTATTTGCCTTCTACTTGCGTATAAAATTAAACATCCAGAAAACTTTTTCCTTCTTCGTGGGAATCATGAATGTGCTGCTATTAATCGGATATATGGATTTTATGATGAATGTAAGTAACAATCATCAATAAGTACTTTTTACCTCCAGACGTTTAGTGCATCATTTATGCTATCATATCTCATTCCATAGCGTTTATATATGTTGTAACTGAAGCAATCTATGGGTTTAAGGACCAAAGGTTTTCCATAGTACATGGAATATTTATTCTCATTGACTATCGATAGTTGGATTTTATCATTTCAAACAAATTTCTTCAAGATACAATTCCGTTTAGCCCTGAAAAATTTGGTAGTACCACTAAGTTGATATCAATAGAGTTTAAAGGGGTTTCTGTCAAGTTATACTGTTGACGGTCATGTTCCAGATTAGTGATATTTTTCATTTTTATATTATTCTTAATGATTACTTCATGTAGAATGTTTATATATGTATTTCATGACATTTGAAAATGAGCATTCGCACAGTATCTTCGTTTTCTCAATCGTTACATTGTTTTTACTATCTATCACTTGTTATTAGATCGGGTAAATATTTGCCTAACATGGACTGTAACATCTTACAATCATTCATAGTCTGATTTCCACTAATCTTTTATAAATCAGTCTCGCATTTATGATTTCGTACAACTTTATTATTCATGTAAACTTTTGAACTTGATGTTAGTGGGTGTTGTGATTTTTATCGACTAAGACGTCAAACATTACTCACCATCTATAAATAAGGTTTGTCATATATGTTAGCTTTTATCCGCCACGTTATCAACTAATAGTTTAAAAACTAGGACTTCAACTAAGTGATCATAGATTGTAATTATTACTTCATTAGTTTTCGTTAACTGGTATACTGTTAACTGAATACTGTCGCAATTCAGTTGACAAGCACAAAAACTGCAGACCATCTGTTTATTAAAATCTGAAATACTATTCGTCATTCACCATTAAGTTGAGAAAAGGGAACATTTCATAAGGATTTCAGTGATCCCTCTACTGGGATGTGAAAACAGTCAAAAATACACTTCTAATTAATAGAATAATGAATTTCATCATTAGGGATAAAATAATCAGGATATACGTTTTATGAAATCCGATTTACATTTCAGTATATAGTTTGCAAATCGCTCATGTACATAATCAAAGGTTTGACGTATCTAGATCGACTTTTTTGTGTAAACGAATGGTAATTCCCTACACCTAAAACCTTTTTATTTGCTTTTTTGTATTGACCATTCATCTGCATTAGTTTAAACAGTTAGGAATTTATAATCAATCAATTCCAAAACTTGGAATATCTTCTGATTTGTACATATTGCGATTCAGTAACTTAATATGTGCAAAAGAAATTAGTTTCAAAAGTAACTAGTGGGATATTTAGAGATAACTATGAAAGTTCTGTGCCATCTACAGTTAACTGGATGCATAGATGACTTTTCTATAATTCTCCTGTCATTGCTTTGGACTTATAACTTACATATCTGTAATATCTTGTATATGCTCCAAATGGTTTAAAGTTACACAGATTTTATAGTTACTTATTATCTTAACAATAGATGGAAAACCTACATAGAAATAGGACTGCTACTATTTAGTTATAGTTTTCTTCATTATGGTCATTACATTACATTCGTAATGTCTAATTTGTGAGACCACTAATGTTTAAGTTTTATTTAGAGCTCTTCTGTAATAAAACTGTAATAATAACTAAATCTGCAAGGCAACTTGAACGTAAGAAAAAAGTGCGAAGTGCGAAAAGTACACTTTACTCCAAGGTTAGTTTATGTATGTATAGACTCGGGGGCTTCTGAAAGTTACTGGAACTGAAATATAGTAGAAACAGGTAAATATCCACTCAGAAATGTGGCACTTGACTTTTCTCCTCCTAGATGTTTCTGAGAGGCGTTTATTCAACACTGATTGGGCGAAATGTTCCCTAGCGTCCTATGGTCGCCTATGAACTTTTCAGAAAAATACTTTGGGACTCCCCAGCACCAATGGTACTGCTTGGTTGCTCAAACTTAAATAGTTGTAGGAGGAGGGGGTGAGAGGTCGAAAGCTGTTGACTAGCCGCTATTGTAAAACAAGCCATAGCCATTATTTCTGTCAGAAGATTTCAAATGTCCAGCACTGTAAATTATACACGGTCATCAGGCTCGATTTCATTGTTCTGTCAGAGGTAGCAAACATATTTGACCTTAAAGGCCATCGTTAACGATAGTTAATGAGGCTGGTGAAAATTAAGTACGGGTCACAAGCTACTGTTTATGATTGGTTTGAAGATTCTCGGTGGGAAACGTCCTCAAATCATTCTGATATATATATATATATATATATATATATATATATATATGTATGTATATATATATATATAAGGGAGCAAACTACCCCATCAGCAGCTTCTGGTTGGGGTTTTCTTATCGGTTCCCGTATTATCACAGTTATTGTCCGTTATTGCCAACTTAGTAATAAAAAATTATATTTCTGTTCACATCTTGCTCATACACAAATGCAATCGGTAGATTAAATAATAATAATCTAATCTATTAACACTGTAAGACATTTTCTCTAAATCGAACACGCACTTTAGCATAGTGTAATCCTTTCTTCAATCTAATTCTTGAAAAAACTTGTCCTCCTACCCTGATTTGCACACATAGCTTATTTATTAAGTACGAATTCGTATCACTCGATTTTAAGCCACGCTGTTATGCACAATGGCTTATTATGCAACCATCCTGTTATCTAAGCTTCAAAGTGGCTAAATTCAAGGTTCAAATGATATATTAGCACAGCAAACACTATTTTAAATTGAAAATATTTTAAAATTACTATACAATATGGTGCATATTTCAACTAAGGTAAACTTTCTTCTATTTTTCTAGGTAAACGACGTTTTAGTGTTCGATTATGGAAAACGTTCACTGATTGCTTCAACTGTTTACCAATCGCTGCGATTGTAGATTCAAAAATATTTTGTTGTCATGGTGGTAGGTTTTTCTGCAGATATTTTAGATTGGATCTGAAACTATATATTATAATGTACATTGTCCCAGTCTGACTGTGATACCCAATCATCCTATACGTGAGCCAAAGCAGCTAGTCGGGTGAAAAGCCTGAGAGTAGAAAACATTTTTATTGACTAAGCCGAATAGGCATATATATATATATATATATATATATATATATATATATATATATACTCCCTAAAATATTTAACCCCTAATGGTGTCTCATTCCTTTAAAATGGAGACTATTTATTGGCGGATCATGTTCTTTTATCATTTGGTTGATTTTGTTTGTCCCAGTGTTTCATTATATACTTGTATCTAAGTCAACACTTCATTTTAATCAGAATCGTCTCAAATAAATTCATCGTTCATTTGCTCGAAATATTGTTTATCAACTTTCAATTAATTTCTGACTGATCTTATGTTGTGATTTGGTCAACCAATCCTATCGACCTTGGAAACCGTGCAACAAAGTAACTGACTATAAGGTAAAGAAGCCGATTAGATAAGAGCAATGGTTATTGTCAGAAAATGGACTCACTGGTTCGGTAAACCTGGATTGCCAGATAAATTAAACAGCATGTATAAAATTAGGCATCTACTTCAAGATTAGACGATTCTATGGGTGATCTTGCAATCTGTAAAATAATAATTATTGATACCACGACCTAGTGTAAGTTAGATAATCATTCAAAATCTGGAAACTTTGATTGCTCGTTTCTCCTTAGTATGGGACTCCTCAGCAGTGGGTATTCACGAAACTACCCCTACGAACCAAACCCAGGACCTTCGGCCTAGCTCTCGAACGCTTAACCTCTAGACCATTTAACTAGGGTCGGGTAGTATGGCATTTCACTTACATTTAAGTTTGTATACATTGAGTGCTGTTAAGGCCTTCAATTAACTTATTTGACAGACAATATCATTCAGTCAGTAACAGCACGTCGATATCTTTGCTTTATTTTTATTATTATTGTTTGTGTGCTCCTGTATGCTTGATCACATGTTACAGTCTACACACATATTCATCCATCTTACCAGCTTGACTGTTAGTTGCTCGAATCACTCGTGTCTCATTCGTTTGCTGATATATATGTACCCCTTAAGTTACACTCATTCGTTCGCTCACATTAATTCACATTAGCATTTCTGTTCGTATTGGTTTTGTGTGTTTGTAGTTTTGTAATATGTGCTGTGCAAGAATGAACCGTGGTCATGGCTTTGTATTATCTTGTTAAATTTATGCATCTTTGGGCATGATCTAGTGAGGGTTATCAAGAAGAGTGGTAGACAGAGTATAGGAATTATCTCGAAGAAATTCGGCTACAACACATTTTTCAATAGTTCAACTTCTGTCGATTGGTGGGCGGACGATTGAATTTGAACCATATCAATTGTATTTAATAAATGGTATACATCAGCCTATTTAGCTACACATTAAATAAATCGAGCCATTGCGATTAACAATTCATTTAGCTTTACTATCATGAAAAAATTCGACTAAAGTGGTGTGGGTGTGTACTGCTGAGGTGTTGCCTACCAGGACGAAACGACCGCTCAGTGCTTTCAGGTTTTCAGTGGTTGCTTAACTCTGTATTTTTAATTGAAAATTATGCTGTATGTAGTGATAATTTTTAAGTTAGATTAGGTAAGAACTCAGTACTTTTTTCCAGAATTGTACCGTATGTATTCGTCAACCAAATATAACTTAAGCGTTTCTCAACGTCTATAAAAATTTACATAGATATTCATAGACGACTGATACTAACCGTTTAGGGTATGGTTGCTTTTTATATCAAAGTTCTCAGACACTTGAGATATTGTTTTATTAACCCGATAAGTTCATCTTTTAAATATTATCTATTCTTGTTATACTTTATTTAATTCGTTAGTTCGTTTTTTATTTAACTGATCCTGTTTAGTTAATACGTTCTATATTTTCTTCTTCATCTTTGCCTCCCTCACATCATACTGCATGATGTCAGGATTATCTCCAGATTTACAAAATATGGATCAAATACGACGTATCATGAGACCGTCAGATATTCCTGATACAGGTTAGTTATTATGTGTTATACATTTAGAGTAGTAGTGGTAGAACTATTACGGATTCGTTGTTGATTTTTTTTCATTTGATTATAAGAGTGTTAGCGGTGCTATCAGCCAGGTGCAGATGAACATTACTTTGTTTTTGAAACAAACTAGTTATCTTTTTTGTAAATCAAAGTTTTCAATAATTCTTGTTAAGATCTCTCTTCATACAACCCAGCTAGTCTTATTACTTATCTTTCTTCGGACACTATTTCACTTGACTAGTCCCCAAATCCGAAAACATTTGAACAGGGACGAAGTTATATACCAAATAACCGTAGTTTAATGAGAATAATAGTCACAGTACGAAAAACGTTAGTATATTTATAATTCTACACGAGAAGATTGTAGAGTTCTCCATTTATCTGCTACTGCTGATTGTCTATGAAATGGCCAGTTAGCGTGCTTCAACAGTATTCTTCACGGAACATGCTTTAATCCAATCTATATACTGCTAACAATTCTACAACATTGATAATGCAGACTGTATTTAAAAACAATGCATATCCATTTAACATATCGCCATACATCCAAGTATCAACTCGATGTTTCAGCTTAACCTGTTGAGTTTTGCAAATATAACTTATTTTCGGTGTTTGTTTTGTCAGGTATGTGCCCATACTTTTCTTTATCACACCTGTATACTGAAAAAGTTCGATTTCTAATGAACAGATGTTTTGAAGTTAGTCTAAATAATTATTGTCTTGATTACTGGTTTTCACAAATAATCCTTACTGATAGACAAGTGAAATTCATAAAATGTAATATCTGGGACTAACAATATAATATTATGCTATCTTTAGTTTTGGTTGATTTACATCTTCGCTCAGCAGTTAAACCGCCGGGTGACCAGTGGTTGGAGGAGCTTTACGACATAATTCAGAATCTGTCAGACCGACACAAATCCATTCCCTCCTTGTTTATATCATACTTAGATCTCAAGTTTCAAAATTGTTATGCGTTTTATTCAACCTGTCTTCTAGAATCGTGCATAGTGTTTTCTCCTATCACCAATACTCCTATTTCTACTAATTTTTCATTCATATTTCTCTGGTGATATCGTATGAGAACTGCAGGCGATCCACGTACTTGCCCATGCTCTGCTTTTTATGATTAACAGAATTAAATAAGTGAGGCAATTATTTTCCTTAGCACTTTATTGATTTATTAAGTCATTCTATTTAGATTTTTTCCTATTTTTTTATAACTATTTATTATTTATTTAAACACATATATATTGGTACAAAAGGGCACCAGGTACATATGCGCCACACAAAATAATGAAAGTAGGAAGAGAAGGGATGAAAAGATAAGGCGGACTGAAATGTACAACCAGAAGACTCTTTCAGTTAAGAAAGTTAGAACCATTCTTTATGTAGAAAGTAAAAGAAGGTTACAGCAGGATCGCCACTGGCTTCTATTCTGAGCCACATCTGATAACGTCTCTAGCCACTATGTTGCACCATCTTTTGGACCCCAGCCAGGGAGTCGTGAAGGACCAACAGAAGCTAGCCCCTTGCAGCTCTCTTTCATGCCACGACACCATGTCATACACAAATAAATGAAATTTTTTTATAACTGCATTTTCCAATGCCTTTTTTGGTAGTTATAATGCAACACTTAAATGAATTTTTCATACTTCACTTAAACTTTGGTTAATGGTTCAAAATATTTAGATAAAATTTTTAACGTTTATTTAAAAATGATATTTTAGCATTATGTGCTAATAGCGACGATGTCTCTGTCTTCATGTCAACCATAAGCAATATGTTCGCATCGGTTCAAGTTGCCACATCATGTCTTTATAAAGAGATGAAATCGTCAAGATATGCACCTGAATAGTAGAAATAGTAACTGTATTAGTGGTAATAGAAAATACTATAGAATTCCATTGGAGAATATGAATTTGCGGGATCGAAGCTGTACGTATTTTAAGACGGCTTAAGTGTATCTACTTTACTGGACTAGTTCTAAGCAGTGCCACCAACACATCTCTAACATTTGTTACGATAACCGCGTGGACCCCACTTAAGTAGTCTGCACTTACCTAAAGGCTCAATTCAACAGTAAATGGGTTTGGTACTGCGTCTTGAATTGGTCACCTCTTCAAACATACTCTTAAACCAGCTGACATCCCACGTCAGGGTCGGCGGTGGTTAAGCATACGTGATACATGTCTTAACTACTTCAGTTGATAAAGATTCATAGCCTTATCAACCAGTTTCTTATCTATACCTAGTATCCTGCGTATAACTTCTGGATTACTCATTTGATAGTCTTGACACACTGTGGCAATGTTTTAAAATTTATCTTCATATTGATATGTATCGATATTCCCTTATATTTCATTCATTAACTAATTAATTCTATTTTTTTACTACACACATTTTTAGGACTTTTATGTGATATTTTATGGTCAGATCCGGATAAAGATGTTAATGGTTGGGCTGAAAATGATCGTGGTGTGAGCTTCACATTCGGTCCAGATGTAGTTACCAAATTTCTCAACCGACATGATATGGATTTAATTTGTCGAGCGCACCAAGTAGTTGAAGATGGTTTCGAATTTTTCTGTCGTCGTCAATTAGTAACTTTATTTTCTGCTCCAAATTATTGCGGTGAATTTGATAATGCGGGTGGTATGATGTCTGTAGATGAGAATTTAACATGTTCGTTTCAGGTAAGCATCTATTTATTTTTTTCTTCATATATTACTACTCTGATAATATTCAGATAATGTCATCTCATAATCATTAAAGAAATAATTTATCTTGTAAATTCCGTTTAACTGGAAAAAATGAGTTTTCTTGTCAGTAAACCTCGACTAGAAAATAAATAAATAAATAACTTGGGTCGTGGAATTGATTAAATCATGTTTTAACGAGAATGGATGATAGTTGAAATTTTGAATCATTTACAATAAATAAATAGTTTCAATTAGTGTTACACAAAGAGAATTCAAATGAGCCTCATCAAAATAGCAAATAATGTGAATACAATTGTGAAAAATCAATTTTTTTACAATATCCGGTAACCCTTAGAAATTTCATTAGTAATCCTGATGGTATGCTACTGAATGAACATATCTATACAGTCAACTGATTAGTCCACATTATACTTTTATAAGAAGTAGACTCACATACTGTCATACTTCAATTATAAGATAGATGTTCATATTTCTCACTGTCTAAGTTACTTGTTAAGTTTAAAATTAAGGCAGACTGTGATGTAGTGGCTTAATGATTAAAGTATTCGACTTTCGGCCACTAAGTAAATCCCAGGTACGAACCCCTCTCCGCTTAATACAGTCTGAGTAACCGGGTAGTATCATTAGCCTTCACTTTTAGAGTACACCTCATATCCACCCACGTGCCTGGTGAATGAGTTTACTTTACTCAGTTCAGCATTTTAAGGCAGATTGAAAAGAATAAAAGCATATGATTTCTATTGGATGGTAGACCAATCCTTAAAGTCTATCATGATAATATTATTATTACTTTGACACATAGAATTGGTAATAATCCACAGCAAAGAAAAGAAATTAGAAGGAATCGCATTTGTTATTTGGCCTCCTGTAGCCTTTTTCAGTTTCATTCCGAATTTAGCAGTGCAGCACTTTGCTGTCATCGATTGGTAAGTAGGGGATATGTATCTCATATATTAACTTCTTAAATCTGTGAAGATTTAAGGTCTCACAAACCGATTTATCAACTTTGTTTGATAATATTATACTCAATGGTTTTACCACACAAGACTGACCAGTGCCTCGAAGTCAGGCAATCTTGAAAATCTTCTTATTGTACTCTGTGATGTCATTTTTGATATGTCATATACTTCTGGTCGTTTTGTGAAGGCATCGACACCAACCAAGTAATTTCTGCCTTGTATTAGACCGGCGAAATCAGCGTGTATTCTTTGCCAATGACCTACCGGTTTTGGCCGTGTTTGTAGTTCAGCTTCAGTTGGGTTCTTTACGGCCTCTAAACAGGACGAACAACTACAACATTTTTGTTCTATATCATTGTCCATTGACGTCCAGTATTCATAGCTCCGAGCTAATGATTCCATTTTACTTATCTCCGGGTGCCCGCTATGGAACTGCTTGAGGACTTGGTGTCGAAGATTTCTGGTGATAACGATACGGTGGCCAAACATGATGCACGAATCGACAACTGTCAAAGAATCTCGTCTCCACTTGTTGAGTATGCAGCGGCGAACAACCGTCAACACATTTTTTTCACTAGCTTCTTTAATGGCTTCGAATGTGACCAGATGTCAGGAAACTGCGTTTGCCAATATTGTATGAACCTCAGCCTCAATATCTACGGCAGCTACAAGCACCTCCTCTTCTTGTTTGGCCTGGGAACTAAATTATCTTGAGAGGGCATCTGCCTGTCCAAAATCCGTTGTTGCTTGATACTTTATCTTGAAATCATAGCCCAGCAGTGAACTGTCTACCAAACAGCATCTTGTGGAGTTTTTTTTTACAGTGAATATAGTGGATAGGGCTTCTTTCTCTATCTGACTGTAGTTCTTTTCTGTCGTAATCAGCGATCGTGCAGCGCGGGCGATTGCCTTCTCAAACCCATCAGGGTAGGTATGTAAAATTGCTGCTCCGATTCTGTAGTTTGATGCATCTGCTGCGACTATAATTGGAAGATCTGGATCATAGTGTATAAGTAGAAGGTTTAGTGATAGGAGCTGTTTTAGTTTTAAGAATGCTTCTTGGTATCCTTTCTCAGTAACCTATTAAGAGGAGCACGGGACGATTCAGATTGGGAAGAAAAACGCCATAGTAACTAACCATTCCCAAGAAAGAACTTAAAGTTGATACATTAGTCGGTGGAGGCATAGACTTGATAGCCTCGACGTTTTCAAGATCAGGTTTTCTCCTGTTTTTATCGATTATGAATCCCAAATAGCGAACTTGCTCCATGTATATAATATTTGTTATCAATGTCTCAAGATAACAAAAGCAGATGTTGATGGCTGGGTGAAGCATGGGGGTTTAGTAAACCGTGAGTGTGAGCATTTCAAACTATCAACAATGACAGAAGATCAGTTTAAGTGTCTCGTGTTTGTGTGCAGCCTACAATCTCTCGAAGATGCTGATATTAGAACCAGAATCTTAAGTAAAATTGAACAGTGTCCGAACATAACACTACAAGAAGTAACCACGGAGTGCTAGAGATTGGTAAACATGAAACACAATACTTCCATGGTTGATAATAATACCGGGTCGCTACACGTTCATGTTGTAAGCGAAAAGAAAGATTTCTGCCCAAGAAAAGTATGACTCACAGACAACCAGCCCCCATCTCCATGCTGGTCATGTGGAGGTTGGCAAGAGGTTCTGCCCATATAAAGAACATTGTTTCAAAAAATATCAACGTAAGGGCCACAAAGAAACATGCTGTAGAGAAGGAACCCATAAACGACATTCTTCGAAACCCTACTTCAAGAAATACAGATCTGGTGCATTAACTAAGAAAATATTGGTATCACATAACCGAGCACAAATTTACCGCCAATGAAAGTATTTAACCTTGGATATTAAGAAATAGCGTACTCGTCGTCAACTTGATGCGGCATCTGATATTACTCTATTCAGCCCAGAAACTTGGAGGAAGATTGGGAGATCAGCAGTGCATCTGGTGGGAAATTAAATATTGTTGGAGAAGTACCCTGCACTGTATTGTAACGACAAATGCAACAGAACACCTTACAAAGAATCCAGCACTCGACTTATTGGGGTTAGATCTTATAGAGACACTTAAACTAGCAGACCATTCTATTAACAGCATCTGTAGACGAATCAGAACTGATAACCCCTTAGAGTTGAACCAGAAAAATGCTGTGCTTCAAAGATACCACAACGAGTTTAAGGAAGAATTAAGAGAATGTACGAAGGCCAAAGCATTGTTAACCTTTAGACCTGCAGCTACTCCCGTCTTTCGACCTAAAAGACCTGTACCTTATGCAGCGCTACCTATTGTTGAACAAGAACTAGAGAGACTGCAAAGAAGTGGAATTATAGAACCGGTGAATCTTTCTGATTGGGCAGCATTAATAGTAATTGTTAAAAAGTCCAATGGAAGTATCCGGTTATGCGCAGATTATTCGACTGGATTAAACGAAGCACTTGAAGCCCATAAGTACCCTTCGCTGTTACCAGAAGACCAGATCCACTCCTTCCACGTCTTGAGTTCCAATATTCCTTCATGCTACACCATTGTTTCCTGTCTTTTCGAGAACCATCTATTCTGAATGCTTAGTTTTTTTATTATCATCGCTATTCCGTTTTTCTGACTATTTGGTAGTTCATCTTGTTAGTTTCATGTCATTTTTCTTGTGTTGTATGTAAACTTGAAGCGTTTCACATCTGTGCTAGATTCTACGTTGATGATGATTGATTGGCTGGCTCAGTGATTTATAATATCAATTGTGCTGAGAATTCTATATTGTACCAGATTATAATATTGAATAAAGCCATTAATAGTAATAATAATTTTATGTTATGGACTTATCATACTTGTACATTTATTTGTTGACCAATTATATTGAAAATATAGATATACAGATAGTATACTCTTAACCAAAATATCACCATGTTAACCACCAGTATCAATGTTCTTCTTTTTCACCATCATTTCGTGTACAAATCCATTTCTCCTTACTCAATCAACACTTTTATATGTAAATAGATATACTTTTTCCTTATTCCTCTGCCTGATGACAAAACCAGGACATAGTTAATTTGTGGATGTTTGTGCTAGGATAGATAACTAATCTTAAAGGTTTGTAGGAAATCTTTCATGTTATTCCTTATATATATCACACTAATTTCGCATTCAGTCATCTGATTGTAGTGCAGTGTTTCTAGTATATACATACGCGCTTACGTGTGCTATTGATCTCTGTTTAGCAAAACAATGACCGTTTGTTTAGTATATTGTTGTTCTTTTCAAATGGGCAAGATGATAATAAATATCTATTTGTTTGCTGTAATTAGTATTACAAGTGTATCTTTCGTTCGTGGGCACGTGTTATATATAGTACCCTATTGATTATTCACATCATAATAATACACAATAGTTATAATGATAATGTATGTTGACTTATCCTGTGAACTTTCTCTCCTAATCCATATTGAATAAGATACATCTCTGTGTATTTATACGTACTCTAATGTTACTTATCAAGAGAATACTGATTTTGTTCAAAGTCAGCTTAAACCCCACATTATATAGATAGTAGTATTAGTAAATGTTCTGACAGAAACATCGTTTTCTTTATCTACATGTCATTAATTAAAGTTTTTATGAGTTGCTTCAAAAAATGCTTTGGGAAGTGCGGTAGTGTACATCACGTTGACTACTTATATGGTTAAACAGAAAACTTGACTTTAAATTAATTAATTGAAGGTTTGAATGCTATAACCCTACTACTCTTTTTCCGTTCGGACACTAAATCATATCGTTAATTGTTATTTTCTAAAATTAAGCTCTCAAAGTCGAGTTTATAAATCTTTAAGTTGTCGAATGGATTGTATACTGAATTTAGTTACCAAAAGTTCATGTTCATACATTGACCAGTAGATTATCGAACTTATTGTCTAATTAATATAAAAAAATAAAATGGTTTCAAAATCTTCATTAAAAGGATTATTTGTGAGAACTATAATACTTCATTAAGTTCTACCAATTAGAAAATTAAGATACGATGTCCTGGTGGGATTTGGTATAGTGTAGGTTTTGCTAACCGTACGATGTCTTATCTCAATTATACAGCTGTAGTTAAGAAAATCCGTAACACTTCACCGATATAAGCCTCGATAGTTTAACTACTGATAAGATCTCTTCAGTGATTAGAGGGACTCGTTTTGTCCTGCTCAACCTACGTGTGTATAAGTTAGTCACTGAGGTTGTGAAATCTCCACCTATTGAAACAAGATCATCGCATGGCCCGTAAGTCACCAAATATCCCGTTAAAAAGTTCTAACTGAAGTAACAATTAATTATAATAGAGTGTTATATCTCGAACTTGAATTCTCGCTATACCGCGTGCAACCTAAGCACTCGAAGACTTAAACCCTCCAAGTCGCAAGTTAGAAGACGGAAGGCGAACGGAAAAAATCTTATTCCAACTAGTGTCAAATATGGTACGAAACACTCGGGTATTTATAGTTTTAAGTGAAATCGTGATTATCAATACAATCATCCAATCCTCAGTCAGTGGTTTCTAGCATTTGTCCAATCTGGAGGCTACTCGTCGAGATTCTTGAATGTTGTTCCAAACAATGATTGAATGGAATGCCTTTGGTTATTTCAGAGCTTCCTTAAGTTCACCGGGAGCCTTCCCCACATAAAACTGGATCAACCAGTCCATGACTTTATCATTCTATGTACTACTGACTTAAGATGTATGAAGAAAGTTGGCATTTCTACGATAGCTTTGTTAATATGAGACAAATATTAGTTGTTGCATTTCTCAATATGAAGTGATTTGAAGCTTACCACAGTTATGTTATATTTGCAAATAATATTGGTCTGATTACTAATTATTTTCTTTTATATTCTAGAGATCAAGTCTTCATTCTGCTAACAACCCTTACATTCTCATATATATATAGCCTTTAAAAACCAAGAGACACATAGAAAGCTGGAGCATGAACCTACAACCTTGCCAGAACATTCGATTCTTGCTAACTGGGCTTTACATTTAGACCACTGAATTGATTTGGTATCCAGTGGTTAACATTCCTAACTCCAGTTGATTCATGATGTTTCGAAAACATTTTCCAATGACATTAGTAGGCAACCACTTCGCACTTGACATGGCTATACACTAGTCACGGTTTATCACTAGTACTCCGGGATTAGTCAGCGGTCAGCAGATTATCATTAGCCACAGTAAAAAGGGTAAACAATATCATGCTAACTTTGTGGTCTAATGGTTCGACGCAAGACCTAAAGGTAGCTACTGAGTTTGATCCTTAATTAGGTCGTGCTTGCGCACTGTTAAGTAGTCTCGTACGAGTACTAGTACTAGATTGGCAAGGAATAACTGTTCAGTACTCTCTGGTTTTCAATGACTGTCTAATTAAGCTTAATCTCTAGTGTCAATCATAATATATATTGTTATCGTTTAGATGGAATTGACTGATTAGCTTATTATTCTCTGTTCTTCTGTTGCTTGCCTAATGGCTATCTATTTACTCTAGATACTTAAACCATCTGAAAAGAAGGCTAAATATCAATATCAAGGTGTAAACACTACTGGAAATCAAGCTAGATTGCCTGCTCGTATACCATGATCACTATGATAATTGTTCATTGTCAATAGTAACACATGCTTCCATAAATGCTTATCACAATGTGTGTGTAACATAGAACTGTCTAGAGTAAAGAACGATAAATAACAAACATACCAACAAATGGTATTTCATCATATAATTTCAATACAATTTCAAACTTTTATGCTTATATATATAACTGTTGTTCCTTAATTTTATTTTACACAAATAATACACACAATATTTTTATTAGTAAATTAAAATTAACTCAAGCACATGTATTTACTATTTTGTTGCTTATTACACTTACTGTTTGTGTATAGACAACACAGGCACACATTATTACTTACAAATCGGTTTAAACACTACTTCAATAATATACACAGATCTTTTGAAAATAAAAAGATTATGATTACAAATATTTGATCAATACCTGCTGAGGTTTCTGTTTTTTTTTTGAGATATTTTCTTGTCCGTATTAACGAACGCATTCAGCGAGATGATACAGCAATTCGGAACTGTCTTCGCTTATGAAATAGTTTCTACCTGCCGGTCGATCAGTTTTGTTCTTGTTGACATATTTTCACCATAAACACACACGTAAACTGAACTACTTGTAAAAAAATGTAATTTTTCCATTCCTCCTAGTTTGTTTTTTCTTCCTTTTGTGCATGATAAACAACACGTTACTTATTAACCGATGATAATAATAAAAAAATTTCAAATTTTGCCGTACATACACCTACCCACTCCTGCCGCAATCACATACTTGGAATTATATACTGCATACCCTTAATTATGTGCTTTGCACCGCATCTTACCAAATGATGATAATGATATGAGCCAACTGTGGAACAAATAACCAGATAAGTATCCGAAACGGTACATAGGTTTTAATTTTACCATCATTTTGAAATACTTGTTTATTCACAATATTCTGTGCTGTATTTCATAATATTTGAAAATCAGTTTCTGTGGCTTAGCATTTCTCTTCCCCCTTCACACATACTTGTCGTTAGTTTCTAACTTCTACTCCTGCCGAACATACACATGGAAACCAGTTTGTAACGAGTTGAACGTATTAACCTACTTCTGTTAATTTTTTTCTGTTTTTATTCATTTCTATTATGTCTTCTTAAGAAATCTTTGGAACTTTATTATCTTTTTAAACATACTTTTTCTATGATGAATGACTTTTTCCTATGTCTAGCCTCCTCCATATCAACTAACTGCTGTTTTAAACCAAGTATAGTTGTAGCAGGTATAATAGAGTATCGGTAAGTAACACACAAAATGAAGTGATGTGAACTTATTCATATTGACCAAAATAACCAGTTCTTGTGTTTTGAACCAGTACTGAATCATTAGTTTTATCTGATCAATAATACACTTGCTAGAATTATTCGCATCAGTGCAAATAAAAATGTATGTATAGTGTACTTTGTTGTCCTACCATAACAACCTTATCAATCCCTTCGGACGTCATACTTAATGATAAACAAAAATATACACTTTGATACATTTTCCACACCACTTGTTTGTTAATAAATCTTATCTGTAACACACTTTCATTTGTTAAATTAATTGGTGATATTCGTTTTTCTCCAGGATGTTTTTTCTATCAGTTACTCACCTACCTATATTTGTTCGAAGTGTATGTGTATTTGTTTTATTATCCGTTGTCAGATTTCTTCATTTTCTCCCTTTCTCTTTCTGTCACTTTCTTGTTCCTGAAGTTTATCAATGAAGAAGCAAAACTTATGACGGCCACTGTCACTTACACTACTTAAGTAACCTTGTTTCTGACCATTAACAAACTATGTATGTGTACATGAATAGTCCCTTTTTATTCCTTTGGTTAGTTGCGTTTTTCTCTGTTCGTTTGTTTATTTACTAGTTAGTTCTTTGATAGTAATTATAAATATTATTCGTTTTTTTCTGTAATTGAATTTTGTTCAACAGTTTCCATTGAATTTTAGCGTATATCTCAGTTAAACAACTGTTGGAAACCAGGAGATGCTGTATGCTGGTTTTGTCCTTGTATCAAACTTCTCAACAGTGCGCATTCACAAAACCTCCGGGTGTCGAACCCAATATCTTTAGTGGTCGTGTGAATGACGTAACATTTAGACCAATGAGCCGGCGTCCAATGGTTTACATTTCTAACTTCAATCAACTCCCAATATTGTGTAATTGTCATCGATGAGTAGCTGTCTCACACTTGCCGTGCTTCAAGTCTACTGGTCACGTTTTTTTCATTAGAACGTTGGGACTTACCTTTTGAAATTACTCACCACTGAGCATATAATGATTCTTAGTGTAGAAGGTCTATGGAGAATGTTGGTTTTCATGGTTTACGTCATAAATTGATCTTAGTTAAACATCCATTGAAAACCACAAAGTTATGAAACAATTTTAATCTCAAGGTTTAAGGGAAGATAAAGGGTGTATACGCCTACGTCTCCAACCATTGGTTACGATAGTCACGCGGACCCCAACCAGGTAGTCTGCATCTACCAACATGGCTCAGACTAGAAGTTAGTGACTTCAAGCACTGATGCCGACCGTTGCTGCTACCTTGACGTGGTGGTCGAGCTTGCCTATCGTGATGATTCAATGGAGCTATACTTCCTGGAACAATCGTTCCTCAAGGTCCTACCATGCCAGGCAGGTCGGTTGAAGAGCGGTGAGACTAAAAGCAGCAATCCCAAGGTCCGAAGGCGAAGTCGTACTGCTGACTGTACAGAGGTGTGACAGCAGTAAGGTGTTTCCTTCAGACAACCAGCATGACAGCGATGCTGCCTTTCCACAAGGAGGGGTGGGGTTAGAAAAGGTCGACCCTAAATATGCACACCTCGCCTTATCCCACGGATATCCGTCTCCGGCGGTAAGGTCCTTTGAAGAACGGAGCTAACACGTCAAAAATCCCCCACAAAAAGGCCGTGTGTGACCGACCTCAAGCAGTTGTCGCTTGGACACTGCGGTCACGCTCTCAGGTCATTAAGACCACTTCTAACCCAATTTCCTTTTCAGGTACCCCAGAAGAACCCTTCCACGGTGTAGGCAACCGGGAAGTGATAACTGCCCTCATACCTCTAACAGCACTCAAGATCAGTAGTTTTACTATCAACCCTCGTCCATTGTTCGATTCGAATACATTGATTCGTCCTTTGTTAGGATATCCAACTAAAAAAAAAACAGATTCAAATTGACCAATCTTGTAAAGTAAGGTTTTCATTATTATATATTACTGTCCAATCTTTTAATTTGTATGTCAGTTACCTCATAAAATTGTTTCAGTCAAATCTGAGTTACTCATACAATAATCTCACACGTATTCAACCAGTCAAAAGCTCATTATAATCCCGTGATAATCTTATTGATAACGTAAATATTTCATTGTTGGAATATAATTTCAAATTAACTCAGTTATTTAATGTAAATCAACAAAATGGTGGATTTTACACGGAATTTTTTGAACGATTTATTTGAATCACCACAACGTAAGCATATAAATAAGAGATGTAATTCCCATTTTACCTTTTGAAGTCAAACCAATAAATTTATCGGTAAATAGATTATAAAATCCTGGAAAAACATCTTTTCTGTTAGTTGCTTGCTGAGAATTATTTTAGAATTGAATTTTCGCTTATTTGTATTAGACATCCAGTTTACTCATACTGGTAGATATGTGAAGACTGGTCATACACTGGTTGTGCCAGTCTATAAGAAAGGACAAAAGTTCTCCTGTGACAATCACAGAGGGATCAGTTTGACTAATATAGTGTCTAAAATATTAGCTTCAATAATACTTGGACGCCTAACCAAAGCTCGTGAAGAGCAGACTAGAGAAAACCAGGCTGGTTTTCGACCTGGACGTGGTTGCATAGACCAGATATTCACCCTACGTCAGGTTCTAGAACATGGACACAAATTCAGACGTCCCACAATAGTAGTATTTCTTGACCTTAAGGCGGCATTTGACTCCGTTGATCGTGAGGTTCTATGGCAGTGTTTGTCACTGAAAGGAGTACCAAAGAAGTACATTAACCTCATAAAGGCTCTCTACTCGAACACAACTGGTCGAGTTAGAGCCTATGGCGAACTGTCATCAGAACTGATTACCACAAGTGGCGTTCGTCAGGGCTGTCCACTCTCCCCATTCTTGTTTAACTTTGTCGTTGACATACTTTTAGAGATAGCACTTTCATCAGCTAAACCTCCAGGAGTTGAACTTTTACCAGGAGGCTCACTTGTTGACTTAGAATACGCCGACGACATAGTTTTACTCGGTGAAGACACTGACAACATGCAGAGTCTTCTGACCACTGTAAGCAACTATGCAGGCATGTTCGGGATGCGATTCTCTCCCTCGAAGTGCAAAATGTTACTTCAGGATTGGGTTGCAGCGACACCTGGACTAATGATAGGGAGTGAAGTAGTTGAGCGTGTAAACCACTTCACTTATCTTGGGAGTCTCATCAGCCCTAGTGGTCTGGCATGTGACGAAATCTCAGCACAGATACAGAAGGCTCGTCTAGCTTTCGCCAACTTGCGTCATTTATGGCGTAGGCGAGATATCCGTCTAGCAACCAAAGGACGGGTTTACTGTGCAGCAGTTCGCTCCGTCCTACTTTATGGCAGTGAAACATGTCCGGTAACAGTAAAGTATATTCGTAGGCTACTAGTATTCGATCATAGGTGTCTTCGATGCATTGCTCGTATATCCTGGAACCAAAGAGTGAGTAATGCAGTTGTTAGGAAACGAGTACTAGGTAGGGATGGCAAATCGATTGATGAAGTTGTGAAACTTCATCAGTTGAGATGGCTGGGACATGTGTTACGTATGCCCGACCACCGACTGCCCCGACGTGCAATGTTTCATGGTGTAGGAGTAGGTTGGAAGAAAGCTAGGGGTGGCCAGACCAAAACGTGGCACAAATCAATGAAGTCACTGACAAGTGGACTGGGCCATGTTGGTAGGTGTAGACTACCTGGTTGGGATTCACGAGTTGATAGCA